CCACCCTCACACCAGCCCTATCAGTTGCCTTTTGCGACACGCATGGAAATTTACAGTGTACCTATTCTTAGCATTCCACGTAGACCACAGACACATACGAAGGTCATGTTCATGTAGAATGTGGTAATCCACATCTAAAGTGATGACGTAAATGATGGGGATGGGGTGGGAATGGGGAGTGGGGATGTAGAGGACCTGTAGTCCAGCTAATAACAAAACATGCTAAGTATAATACAGAGGGGGTGCCTAGTTGACCATGTTCTTAGTGCACTTGTATTCATGGCGAGGCGCAGAGGCCGTCTGGGGGTGACAGGTTCAATTCCCGGCACGGTAACTAAAGCTTTCGACTTTTATGTTGTCTAGTGTGTTCTTCTATCTTTCTACTTCTTTCTATGAGTGCCGATCAATGCACTTTCTGTTACTCGATTAATGCATAATAAGTATAATACAAAATGTGACTAGATGCACACACATACAACCTAAAGTTTCCACCAGAGTCCTCTGGATTCCATTTCTAGGACATCGCTTCAATTTTAAACAGGGTCTCTACTTCCTGATAATACCACAGTCCATTAAAAGTTAACATTCACTGGAGCTATTCTCCTTTCGTATTTACATATGTTTACGTCCCTTAAAGATGAGTTTTAAAAAAAAAAAAAAAAACGACGTGTCGCTGTTTTTATCCTTACCAGCTTGAAGTATGAACAGAAAGTCGTTTCTTTTAACAGCGTCAGCCGCGACCACATAGGAGCTAGACAAGTATTTCTTAAAAGTGGAAGCTACCACCTCATGAGGGCGCTGCGGCGGTAAAATGGTAAATTAGTTCCCTCGATCACATTGGTGGGGGAAAAAGGGAAGGGGGCAGGATCTTAAAACGGCGTAGGGGGCGATTGGAGCCTCATGTAAATCTAGGGCAATAAACTAAACATAAAGAAACGGTGGAGATAAGAACAAGTAGTAGAAGACGGGAAGATAACACTTTCATTATCTATCCCGGGCTGAGCTGGGTAATTTAAACTTATGTTTGCGTGTGGGGATTTCTGTGTGGGTGTGTGTTAGTGTGCGTGCGTGTGTGTAACATTATCATCGACCTTGAAAAATCATCAATCAGCCCATAAACTAGTCCGTTAAATTTAGGACATGTAGGACATATAAGACATGTAGGACATGGTCCAATCAAGAAGTTACTTTAAAACAACAAGTAAGAAGAAAGACTAAGTATATTGCCATTGGGCTCATCAACAAACGTACGGTAAGATCAGCTGTGGCCAGTCTTGGTAAGATGCCGGCTGCTGAAACTCAGCACAAGGAAGTTGTCGGGTTTGAATTGCGTTGATGGAATATTTGTGTAGTGTAATCTTGACATTAGGAGCCTCCCCGGTGTAGCGGCTAGACGCACGCCTGCCAATCTGGAGGTCGTGGGGTCAGGTTCTGTCCGAGCCGGACTCTTTTAAATAATAACATGGGTTCCCAGTCGACCCCGGATACGGGGTAAAGTACTGGGAAGTTAAAGGCGACCAGTATTAAAATAAATATGTATCACTATATGCCCAATTAAATTAATAAATGCTTGGTCTGAAAGAGTGACAGATCTGAACATCAAGGACGATTGGCTAGCGTATGGTCTCGGAAACTAAAACATTTTACATATCAAGCGTCATGGTGGATTGGTAAGAATAGCAGCAGGTGGCACAGTACCAGGAAAGAGGGGTAGGGTCCGAGCTGGGCACAGGATATAACTATAGACTGGCTAAGAAAGTACACAGGATATAACTGATAGACTGGCTAAGAAAGCACACAGGATATAACTGACAGACTGGCTAAGAAAGTACACATGATATAACTGACAGACTGGCTAAGAAAGTACACAGGATATAACTGACAGACTGGCTAAGAAAGTACACAGGATATAACTGACAGACTGGCTAAGAAAGTACACAGGATATATCTGATAGACTGGCTAAGAAAGTACACAGGATATAACTGATAGACTGGCTAAGATAGTACACAGGATATAACTGATAGACTGACTAAGATAGTGCACAGGATATAACTGACAGACTGGCTAAGATAGTACACAGGATATAACTGATAGACTGGCTAAGAAAGTACACAGGATATAACTGACAGACTGGCTAAGAAAGTACACAGGATATAACTGATAGACTGGCTAAGATAGTACACAGGATATAACTGATAGACTGGCTAAGATAGTACACAGGATATAACTGATAGACTGGCTAAGAAAGTACACATGATATAACTGATAGACTGGCTAAGATAGTACACAGGATATAACTGATAGACTGGCTAAGATAGTGCACAGGATATAACTGACAGACTGGCTAAGAAAGTACACAGGATATAACTGATAGACTGGCTAAGATAGTACACAGGACATAACTGATAGACTGGCTAAAATAGTACACAGGATATAACTGATAGACTGGCTAAGAAAGTACACAGGATATAACTGACAGACTGGCTTAGATAGTGCACAGGATATAACTGATAGAATGGCGAAGATAGTACACAGGATATAACTGATAGACTGGCTAAGAAAGTACACAGGATATAACTTACAGACTGGCTAGGAAAGTGAAAAGGATATAACTGACAGACTGGCTAAGAAAGTACACAGGATATAACTGATAGACTGGCTAAGATAGTGCACAGGATATAACTGACAGACTGGCTAAGAAAGTTCACAGGATATAACTGATAGACTGGCTAATATAGTACACAGGATATAACTGATAGACTGGCTAAGATAGTACACAGGATATAACTGATAGACTGGCTAAAATAGTACACAGGATATAACTGATAGACTGGCTAAGAAAGTACACAGGATATAACTGACAGACTGGCTTAGATAGTGCACAGGATATAACTGATAGAATGGCGAAGATAGTACACAGGATATAACTGATAGACTGGCTAATATAGTACACAGGATATAACTGATAGACTGGCTAAGATAGTACACAGGATATAACTGATAGACTGGCTAAGATAGTACACAGGATATAACTGATAGACTGGCTAAGATAGTACACAGGATATAACTGATAGACTGGCTAAGATAGTGCACAGGATATAACTGACAGACTGGCTAAGAAAGTACACAGGATATAACTGATAGACTGGCTAAGATAGTACACAGGATATAACTGATAGACTGGCTAAAATAGTACACAGGATATAACTGATAGACTGGCTAAGAAAGTACACAGGATATAACTGACAGACTGGCTTAGATAGTGCACAGGATATAACTGATAGAATGGCGAAGATAGTACACAGGATATAACTGATAGACTGGCTAAGAAAGTACACAGGATATAACTGACAGACTGGCTAGGAAAGTGAAAAGGATATAACTGACAGACTGGCTAAGAAAGTACACAGGATATAACTGATAGACTGGCTAAGATAGTGCACAGGATATAACTGACAGACTGGCTAAGAAAGTTCACAGGATATAACTGATAGACTGGCTAATATAGTACACAGGATATAACTGATAGACTGGCTAAGATAGTACACAGGATATAACTGATAGACTGGCTAAGATAGTACACAGGATATAACTGATAGACTGGCTAAGATAGTACACAGGATATAACTGATAGACTGGCTAATATAGTACACAGGATATAACTGATAGACTGGCTAAGATAGTACACAGGATATAACTGATAGACTGGCTAAGATAGTACACAGGATATAACTGACAGGCTGGCTAAGAAAGTGCACTATGAGAGAGATATCGCCAAAGATCTAGTTTCTTTCAGGCAGGCCGTGAGGAGATTACCATTCTGCAGACGTCCTACTATAGGTAAATAGTGACATAATCTATACCTTATCATCTTGCTCTCGTGTTAACTTTATAACTAACCCAGACTCATACACACAGACACACACGCAGACACACACTGACACACACACACACCCAGACTCAGACGCGCCTGCGCGCGGATCTGCCTGGTGTAGTTTCTAACAAGGTGTCACAACCAAGGTATTTGTGAGTTCTTTACGAGTCTGGTTAAAATGTGTCGATTTCCTCTGAACCATTGTCTCAGAGTTATTATACACGAGTACATTCAAAGATTACATTTTTTTTTCACGTGGACTTCTAGTAATTTTCCCTGGTCTCTGGGTAGTATGATCGGACGCCCGTGTGTAATATTGTGCACTTAAAAAATCCCCTGGCAGTTGGATATCGCAAAGAGTAGCCTAACGGTGCTGCCCGGACAAAATTTCTAGGTACAAATCTACCTAAAGTATTTCAGTATCCTGGCCGGTACTATTGGATTCTTGCACTACAGTTAGATTCTTCGGACTCAGACTTGAGTCAGAAGTAGACCGGAGCACTTATGGTCTGCTAAACTTGTGCCATGATGTTGATCCTCCGAATGAACCTATCTTAACCTAATCCTTAAAACAACGGAGTACGATCGGCAAGGCGTGAGTTTCACTGCCCGGTAAATCTGCCAGTTCTGTTTTGAACAAGGAGCAGAATAGTCATTTTCTACTTGTCCTTGTGTGCTTTTCACAGACTTTGGTTGGGGTGGGGGGGGGGGGGAACCAACTGCCCCTCACCACCCCCCTCCCAACCGAAACAAGCATGTCGTAAAACACGACTAATTAGAGGTCAGTTGACATTAGATGTGTTGTGTCGACAGGCACAGATATCGTAGCCTAGGTAAAAACTACAGCACAGAATACCAGCCGCCTTTTTAAGCGGGATGGCAGTAAAAGAAGTCTTCTGTTTGCAAAATAGGGTAATAGGCGGTTACAAACAGTGAAACAAACAGAACGACGGTCATAAACGAAACTGAAAGACGGATGAATTTGAGTGAAAGAACGATTGAATATATTGACAGCGAGAAACAGACAGACAGACAGACAGACAGACAGACAGACAGACAGACAGACAGACAGACAGACAGACAGACAGACAGACAGACAGACAGACAGGTAGATAGATACTTTACCTTTTTCCTTGGATCGGCTTCTTTCTTTCTGATTCGATCACCATTGCCATTCGGGTCCAATAGTTCGCCTGGCGCAGGAATATCTTTCAGCCATATCACATGCACTATTTTCCCATAAGTATACACTAATACTGCCAGTGGTACGAAGTACTGTAGTACCATGATGGTCAGTGAGTAGGATACCCGTTGTCTCTCAGATCCCCACTTCTCAAAACACGTGTAAAAGGTCTGGTTCCGTCTGTTCACATTTGCATGCAGTTGCGAGGTCACGGCTGTTGGAATGGGTGTTAAAAACGCCAAAATCCAGCATAAGGCAACAATCTGAAGACACTGTCTTTTCCCCAGTCGACGCAGGAAAGGATGCATGATGGCGATGTATCGCTCTAGACTCATCGCTAACAGCGTGTATGCATTCTGAAACACAACTGCAACTTGTAGGTACGTTACGATAGGGCACAGTGCGGCTCCGAACGGCCAGTAGTTGAATAAAACATTGGCAACGAAGCTAAAGGGAATACAAATAACTGCCATTAGGATGTCGCTGACGGCCAAACTAGCCACGAAATAGTTGGTTACGTTTCTCATTCGTCTCCTGGACAAGGCGACGTAAACGGCGCAGGAGTTGCCAACAATGGCAACCATACACAAGATGGTGTAGAAGCAGATCATGGAAATCTGTGCTCCCCGAAAAGCCCTGTCGAAGTGAGCCTCCCCAGCTGGCGCTTTCACCGAAGCGTTGTCACTATCGTTCATTTCAGTGAGTCTTCCTGGTTTAGCAGCGCGGACTTGTTGGTTTAGCAGCGAGTCTTCCTGGTGTAGCAGCGCGGACTTGTTGGTTTAGCGGCGAGTCTTCCTGGTGTAGCAGCGCGGACTTGTTGGTTTAGCGGCGAGTCTTCCTGGTTGAGCAGCGCGGACTTGTTGGTTTAGCGGCGAGTCTTCCTGGTTTAGCAGCGCGGACTTGTTGGTTTAGCGGCGAGTCTTCCTGGTTTAGCAGAGCGGACTTGTTGGTTTAGCGGCGAGTCTTCCTGGTGTAGCAGCGCGGACTTGTTGGTTTTTCAGCGAGTCTTCCTGGTTTAGCAGCACGGACTTGTTAGTTTAGCAGCGAGTCTTCCTGGTTTAGCAGCGCGGACTTGCTGATTTAACGTTGGAGAATAACTTGACACTGATAGGTGATAACCGCATCTTTCGGCTGCCGCAAATTTGAATCCACTGCGCCTGCCACTTTGATTGCCTAACTAGTTTTTATTATCTACTTATTCCTACGGTAATAAGTAAAGTACACGCTGAACCGAGGAAGCAGCACTGTTTAGTGTCTAACCAAATCATTGTACGGTAACGTTTTACATTGTACAAACGACCTTTTATAATGACCTCTCGGACAGACATGGTAGAATAGACGTCTTTTAAATTACAAGTCATACTGACTGATTTAAAGGTCCTCATGTAGGTGTTGTCGCTGTTGTTGTTGTTGTTGTCGCTGTTGTTGTTGTTGTTGTCGCTGTTGTTGTTGATGAGTATAATGTTATCACTTCTGATTTTTAACATCCCTGGGCTGATTCACGACAATATCATTTGGTGACACATTTTCCGTTGTCAGGCAAAATAATCAGGTGCTGATAATAGTCAGAAAAACATCAGTGGAGATAATTGGGCACCGTCTTCTAGAAACACTGCTCACCATTAGTGTAGTCCCATGCTCCGCGGGGCGCCTAGCGGGTAGTAATAGAGGTGTGATCAAGATCCCTTCACGTACAGACGGTCGAGTTGTCACTACGCAGACTGTCACATCGGGAGGGGGAGATTCAATCCTCTAGTCTGGCAAAGCTGGTGGTGAAGTTTGAAACTAAAACACTTGACCCTGGGGTTAAATGGGGTCAGTAGGGTCATGCGATCTGACAAAACGTTACTGTGATTGAGGACAATAATGAATACACAGCTGAAATCATCATCACATGTTTCTATGTGGTCATCGTCTAAGTGACTGTTTTATGTGTGTCGTGTGTGGTGATTATCTATGTGATTGTGCTATGTGTGTTTCGTATGTGGTGATCGTCTATGTGACTGTGATACGTGTGTCGTATGTGGTGATCGTCTATGTGACTGTGATACGTGTGTCGTATGTGGTGATCGTCTATGTGACTGTGATATGTGTGTCGTATGTGGTGATTGTCTATGTGACTGTGATATGTGTGTCGTATGTGGTGATCGTCTATGTGACTGTGATAAGTGTGTCGTATGTGGTGATCGTCTATGTGACTGTGATACGTGTGTCGTATGTGGTGATCGTCTATGTGACTGTGATACGTGTGTCGTATGTGGTGATCGTCTATGTGACTGTGATAAGTGTGTCGTATGTGGTGATCGTCTATGTGACTGTGATAAGTGTGTCGTGTGTGGTGATTGTCTATGTGACTGTGCTATGTATGTCGTATGTGGTGATCGTCTATGTGACTGTGACCTATGTGCCGAATGTGGTGATCGTCTATGTGACTGTGCTATCTGTGCCGTGTGTGGTAATTGTCTATGTGACTGTGCTATGTGTGTCGTGTGTGGTGATCGTCTATGTGACTGTGCCCTATGTGCCAAATGTGGCGATCATCTATGTGACTGTGCTATGTGTGCCGTGTGTGGTTTTCTAATGTGTGTTTGTACTGTTTGTGGCGATGAAAGTGTGAGTAGTGATAGATTATCTGACTGTACCGTGCGCGGTTTATAATATGTAGTTGTGTTGTGTGTACCGTGTGGGGTTTCTAATGTGTGGTTGTGCGGCAGGTGTTTGTACCGTGTGTGGTGCTAACACTGTGTGTGATGATAGCCTGTCTGACTGTTTGTGTATATAATGTGTGTGTGTGTGTTTTTTTGTTTTTTTTTAAGTAGGATGATTTTGATGTACTCTCTGTTACGACACCACTGTGAGTGAGGATAGCCTGTGTGGTTTTACGCGCACGCGCGCATGTATATACTGTGTGTGGTTTTCAGCGTGTGAAAACGAGGAACTTATAATCAGTTTACTACGGGAAAAGTTAGCATCTACACCTCAAGGCATTTGCTGCGAGAGACTGAGCATCTATGGGTATGCCAGATGTGCTGTAAAGTTGATTCTTACATCGGTAAAATCAGTAATGCTTGGTTGTACTGTGGGTGTTTGTACCGTGTGTAGCTATGCCGTGTGTAGGGGCATTATGTGCGACCTTTCAAATCTGAATAGTGTGTGTGTGTGTATGTGTGTGTGTGTGTGTGTGAATGTACCTTTGTGGGTGTATCCTGTTTGATCGTGCCGCTTGTAGTTATACTATGAAAGACTGCACCAAGCGTGACTGTACCATGCGTGATTGTACGGAGTGTGACTGTATTGTAGGTATTAGTAAACCGTACAAGGTTACATCAAATGGTGTTGTACCATATATGACTGTACTGTGTGTGATTGTACTCTATCACCACACCATTACCATATATGACTGTACTGTGTGTGATTGTACTCTATCACCACACCATTTATAATTACACTTTCACTGAATCCTGTGATAATTACATGATACTGTCCGATGTGTGGTTGGACTATGTCTCATTACAGCCTTTGTATCTGTGACATGTGTGGGTTTGTAGAAGTGGTCCAGTCGACGGTAAAAGTTTGATATCAAGGCTCTTTAATCTTCAAATGGCCAACAGTCATTTGGTCAGTGCCATCCGCTGAGGTATCTAGCTTAGTTGTTGCAGCTTCGTGTCTTTGATGATTCCATCAATCCTCACCAGTTCCCAGCAGTTGTAAAGCTTCGTGATCGTCTACTCCAGGAGAACGAAATCTGACTGTTTAAAATCTCAAGCATGAATCTGGAAAACAAAATAGTTTTTTTTTTAACTGTTAAGTGACATTTATAGTTTTGAAATGGTGAGCTGTGAATGTAACTGACATCCAAATTCTGTGTAACAGAGTTGAAAGGAATACGTTTTTTCCCCCCATACGGTTCATCCCACATGGCTAGCCTTATCTCTAAGAGTGACGGGTTGCCTAGATAGAACGTCAGACAAATTACCAGCCCCGAAGCTCGAACGGGGACCCATAGACATCTCAGCTACACTCGTAATCTGAACAAGGTAGTCAAACAACGAATCCAGTGTCTTCAGCACGCAAGGAAAACAGTTTGACCACTCGGCCACAGAGGTCCCTTTCTTCTTAACAAAATTTACTGATGCACTGCAGTCAGTGATGAGTTAGATTATCTTCACAGCACTTCGGACACATCCACTGGTGCTCAGATTCCCCCTCAAACATAATCACCAGTGACGCACGGTTAATAGTTCCGGTCATATTCTGGTTAACAAGACTTCTTACTCGTCCGGTATGCCTCTCATACTTGACTGTGCCGATCTTTACTCTCAGTTATGGCATTCTTAGCAATGATGTGAACACGCTTCTCCCAATATCCTTTAATTGTCCCATCCCTCTAAGGACATTAACATTGTCGGCGAGATCAACAGGCAGGTCATCTGCAACTGATGAAGAATCGGCCAGTCTATCAGCTCTTTCATCGTATTAGTGTATTCGTCTTTGGATGAAAGGGGTTTAAATGAATGACAACAGTTATGTGTCTTGACCGTATGGTTTCGTGTTTTCTCCTTGACTGTTTATTGTTAGTTTTAGAGATCATCTTCATAGCACATCACACATGACCATAAGTGCTCCGATCTGCTCCTAAGTATGACTCCAAGTGTTTTAGGCTAACAACTATCATTGTGTCCTGGCTGATGTACCGACGGGTGACTCACGCATGGCTTTCCTATCTCGCGGCTCCAACTGGTACACCCAGGGTATGCATTCTACTCAGTGAAAAATCATTTTCCACAACACCGAAAGCCCCCCCAGCGTTTGGTCCCTCGTGTGGCATTAATGATATCCCTCGTACGGCATTGATGATGTCCCTCGTGTGGCATTAATGATATCCCTCGTACGGCATTGATGATGTCTCTCGTGTGGCATTAATGATATCCCTCGTACGGCATTGATGATGTCTCTCGTACGGCATTGATGATGTCTCTAGTAGGGCATTGATGATGTCTCTCGTACGGCACTGATGATGTCTCTCGTAGGGCATTGATGATGTCCCTCGTACGGCATTGATGATGTCTCTCGTACGGCATTGATGATGTCCCTCGTACGGCATTGATGATGTCCCTCGTACGGCATTAATGATGTCCCTCGTGTGGCATTAATGATATCCCTCGTACGGCATTGATGATGTCTCTCGTACGGCATTGATGATGTCTCTCGTACGGCATTGATGATATCCCTCGTACGGCATTGATGATGTCCCTCTTATGGCATTGATGATGTCTCTCGTACGGCATTGATGATGTCCCTCGTACGGCATTAATGATGTCCCTCGTGTGGCATTAATGATATCCCTCGTACGGCATTGATGATGTCTCTCGTAGGGCATTGATGATATCCCTCGTACGGCATTGATGATGTCCCTCGTGTGACATTAATGATATCCTTGGTACGGCATTGATGATGTCTCTCGTACGGCAGTGATGATGTCTCTCGTGTGGCATTGATGATGTCTCTCGTGTGGCATTGATGTTGTCCCTCGTGTGGCATTGATGATGTCCCTCGTAAGGCATTGATGATGTCCCTCGTGTGGCATTAATGATATCCCTCGTACGGCATTGATGATGTCCCTCGTACGGCATTGATGATGTCCCTCGTGTGGCATTGATGATGTCCCTCGTGTGGCATTAATGATGTCTCTCCT